CACACGCTCTCCCTCAAGCGATGGCACATCTTCCAGCTCGCCTTCCACCAGGGCAGCATCCAGCAGCTTTTGCTCCTCGTCGACGACGTCCTGAGACATCGCGTAGGCATCCTCTGTTGGGTGTGCCTGCAGACAAACAAGACTGGCGACTAGAAGTGTGCAGATCGCGAATTCCCGAAAAATCATGTTGTACTTGGCCTATTTGATTTCTAACACGACACCGGTGAATTAGTCCGCCGTATATATAGACATACTGATGCTCGAGAAAAGAACACAGCCATTAGCGTGGAGATAGTTTACATTGGGGGCTCCATTGTCATACGGCGGTCATGTGAATCAGTGCAGTCCGCCCACTCCAACGTCGAACTGATTTGACGCACTGACAACTCGATTCTTGTAGTGATAGGAAGTTCTTCGATCCGGATAAGAATTTAAGCACTGCGTGTGTTTCTTTCATGTCGTAGTTACTTTGACATGGAAACAATCATACCGCTAGTCTCCCAACATTTCTTCTCACAAAAAATACGAGATTAATTGAGAAGAGGACATTTTCCTTGCCGTGAGGAAGAGGGAAGTTTGCGCTAACCATCTCATTATTCCGAAGCAACGGCGAAGTTTCCATTGACTTGTGTCGAACAATAAGGAAAGGTCAACAGAAAAGGATAGAAGACCTTCTTGAACAGATGCTTGTTCTGAAGGTGATTTCAATTACTTCTCTACGATGCAGCCTATCTAATTATTTCCAGTCCATGCAATAATGCGATCATGAGTAATTCTCAACACAGCGTTACCTTAGTTGCTGCCATGGAGCGGAGTCAATTTTGTCTCAGACTTACAGCTCACCACCAAAGAAGGCTTTCAGGTTAAGAATAATAACTAGACTGAATGTCCAACCAAATACACAGGCGCACTTGACGGGCTGTCGCTTCTTCTGACTCCACCACCTGACCAAATGGTTGAAGTCATCCGTCATTGGATATCGACTAAAATACGTCACTTTGTGAATAAGTAGGTCTTACCAGCCTCTAGATAACGGTGGATATCGCCGCAAATATTCCTATGCTAAAAATTAAGGAACACAGTACGAGGATGCATCTGCAGTTTTTAACAATAGCGGCAGTGTCAGGAATCAATCCCTAGGGAACAAATTTAGACCAGTAGATTTAGTCAATAGTACTGTAATGCGCGATAGTGTTCAAATTCTGTTTAATTGAAATTGTGCACACAATTAGACGGGGGAGCAATGGCGAATGAACTAGGTCCAATCTTTTCCGAAATTTTAATTGGCCGCTTTGAAGGTAGGTTGTTATTGAGATAGAACCTGAAATCATTACAGAGAATGAGGATGATATAATCGGGATTGCTGATTTTAACGACGAACCTGAGTAGCTACATATTGCTACGAATATTAGTCACACGAGGATTCAATTAACATGGGGAAATGAGATGTGTAACGATCTATTCTTACTAGACGTTCCAATGATCATACAGGATGGTTGCTCAGTAAAGCGATAGGTTTTCCATAAGGATAAATTGAAAGGTCAGTACTCGCATTTTCTGCTGTGCAACCTCTTCCAAATAACAAGGAACATAAACTCCATTGATGCACTAGAAGAATAAATTGCCTGCCCATAGGATCCTTCTCCAGTCGTGGCTGTCAGTCAAGTTTCATCCAAAAGCACAACATCACTCTATGTCCAAAATTGACGAAAAGTCGATTCAGAAAATAACCACTGTAAAATCCTTTCGCTTTAAAGTTGACAACGTTTCAAATGCCGGCAGAATGTTACGACGGGAATGGCTATTTCTGGCTTATTAGCCGTCGTCAGCCAGTCATACCCAACCCTGAGGTGTGGAACACCTGGGGCCCGATCCCGCGACCTACTAGTTAGAAGTCCAACGCCTCCAACCACTGAGTCACGGGCTCGTTTTCCTGTCGGTTGCGGTCGGGAATATACAATGATAAAGGGACGATCACCGAATGTCTCACGCAACTCACTCGTCCCGTTGTGCCTTACGGGCTCTCGCTCTGGCCCAATCAGCAGCCGCACAGCGGCGCATGATGTAGGCAGTAAGGCTCTTATTATGCCAGAAATGATCATTTCGGTCTCCCTTGTCTTTGTCGGTAATGCTATTCTGCCTATATATCATGCGCCGATGTGCGGCTGCTGGTTGGGCTCGAGAGAGAGCCCTAAGGCACAACGGGACGAGTGATTTCCGTAAAACGATCGGTGAGCGCCCTTTACTATTTTAAATACCCTCAACCGGCATTTGAGACCCACCAGCGAATGGACGTACGATGCAGCCAATCACATATTCAACTGTCCTATTTAAGCTTTTCCAGTGTTTTGGATGAAGGATATTGTGCCATTGCCCGCTAACGCATATTGTGTTTATGAACTCACATGACATTTTGGATACGACTGTATTGGTCGAACGCAAAGTTGACCGACAGACAGGTCAGTTGAGTAGGTGTCTAAATGGCCTTTACAGGCGGAAACTAAAATCCATCGTTCTTCTGTCAGGAGACACTTCCTAGATAACAGTCACTCCATTGACTTCAAAACATCCTTCCGAGTACTGGTTCGGGCATGAACAACTTGAAGATTGCGTTACTTGGAATCAGTCGGGGAAAACGGACTTATTCGAACAGCTAGACCATGTAATCAAGCTCAACTTGTCCTAGTAATCTTCAGTCTTGCGATTTACACGACTCCCTTTTTCGTGTTAACATTATTCTTCTTTCCTCCCTAAATTACGTTTTTAAGTTACCATCTTCATTGATAATTATGTGTGCACAAAACAATGACCTTGTTCTGTTGCATTGAATTCTGGGCGTCGTTGCATATTTTAACCATTTTTGTGTATTTTTCAGGACGGTTTTCCGTTAATTTGCTGTCAAGAAAATTGTCGATATCAATAAATTCTATAATCTTAACATTTTTGCGTTGTTTTCGACGGAAAGCCATATCGAAGACTCACCCTGGTAGTTCAGCTCGATGTGGCCTATTTGGACTAATAGAGGTGGGAGCCTTTATGCACCTTATTTGCAAAGTAGAACCCGAAGCTCTCCTCCGTAGATAACGCACTTTTTCCTTAAAGAATGCCTTGGAGTTAACCAGTTAGCCATACGTATTTTGCTTTTAAGTGCTCGATCTGCGTTCCTCGACATTCCCTTTGCTCTGCCGCTGAGTCATCTGAGGTATCAATGTTTCTGGCACCTTTGATTGCGGTTCGCTGATAAAATACGTACCGGGTTAAGTCACGGAAGCGAGAAGGTAAGGGAGCTGAAATCCCCAGTACACACTTAGCAAAGGCTGGCCATTAAAGGCAGGAGGGAGGTGTTGTGTATTTTAATGTGGGAGTTGACTTAGCTGCCCTAGTTTGACAGTTACGAAATGCAGTGGGAGTTCTCAGCTTCTATCAATTGGCAAACGATTTCTTGCAGTAGGCCTTCTCAGTTTTCTACGGTTCGCCTTCTTACATGCTCTACGGGCATGTTGTAAGGCTCTGATTGGCTTAATCAGATATTTTTAAAGCTTAAAACGTTTCGGTTTCAATAAGGACTGTTCTCTGCAAATGACTATCTGGTACGATATGGTTGGGTAGCCCCACCTGATTGACACAATACACAAAAATATTCATCACTTCACTCATTCGGTATAAAATTATGTCTTCTCCTAAACTACAAGCCGTATATTTTACGCGTACGGAAAACCATACATTTCTCTAGGGTATTAAGAGGAGACCATATGAAGTTCATAAAATTTGGCAATGGACTCGAGCCATATTGTTAACTTTACAAGCCACAGTGGTAAATGTAGAGACATGATGTGTTACGAGCGGCCATTTCACTGTACTGAAGTATCTCACAGTAAGAACATTTTCCAAAACCAAATTGTACCCTTCCTTCAAGTATAAAATTGGAAGATTGCTTAACGTTCTACCAAATGAGTGCTACCAAATGAATGCTTTTATGCTTGTTTTCCATGATGTATTTTTATGGGAACCAGTGGCTTTGCTGAACCATCTTCCGTCTGTTCATAAGGACGTCCAGTGCGAATAGCCTGTTACACAGATCATTTCCCCATGTCAATTGAATATGCGGGGGACTAATATTCTCGGCGGTATGTAGCTTTTTGGCTTCGTCGATAATAACAACAATCGCGGATATATCATCCTCATTCTGTGCAATATCATCAGGTTCAATATCAAAAAGACCTTAACTTCAAGCTAACCCATAAAATGACCGAATTCCTCTTCGCCAAGTGGGCCTGTGTATTTGGTTGGACATTCAGTCTAGTTATTATTCTTAATTAACCCGAAAGCCTCCTTTGGTGGTGAGCTGTAAGTCTGGGACAAAATTGACTCCGCTCCATGGCAGCAACTAAGGTTACATTGTGTTGAGAATCACTCATGCTCGCATTATTGCATGCCTTGTAAATAATGAGATAGGTTGCATCGTAAAGAAGTAACTGAAATCACCTTCAGAACAAGCATCTCTTCAAGAAGGTCTTCCATCCTTTTCTGTTGACCTTTCCTAATTGTTCGACACAAGTCAACGGAAACTTCGCAGTTACTTCGGAATAATGAGATGGTTAGCGCAAACTTCCTTCTTGCTCACAGCAAGGAAAATGTCCTCTTCTCAATTAATCTCGTATTTTTGTGTGACAGAAAATGTTGGGAGACTAGCAATATAATAGTTTCCATGTCAAATTAACTACGACCTGAAAGAAACACACGTAGTGCTTAAATTCTTATCCGGATCGAAGAACTTCCTACCAGTACAAGAATCGAGTTGTCGGTGCGTTACATCAGTTCGACGTTTGAGTGGGTGGACTGCACTGATTCACATGACCGCCGTATGACAATGGAGCCCCCAATGTAAACTATCTCCACGCTAATGGCTGTGTTCTTTTCTCCAGCATCAGTATGTCTATATATATACGGCGGACTAATTCACCGGTGTCGTGTTAGAAATAAAATAGGCCAAGTACAACATGATTCTTCGGGAATTCCTAATCTGCACACTTCTGGTCGCCAGTCTTGTTTGTCTGCAGGCACACTCCACAGAGGATGCCTACCAGATGTCGCAGGACGTCGTCGACGAAGAGCAACATCTGCTGGATGCTGCACTGGTGGAAGGCGAGCTGGAGGATGTGCCATCGCTAGAGGGAGAGCGTGTGCGGATTTTACAACCAGCACGATTTCGTGTGAGGATTCGGTTGGGCGGTCGACGTGGACTGGGCGGACGCATATTTCGGAGTCGCGGAGGCAGGATATTTTGGCAGTACCTCGGCGCGCGTTAGCCCCTATGCATGTATTTTTACTTAATTTTCGCGTGCTCTTGAGCCCTTCAGTAATGTTAAACATTATTGCTCTTAATAAATGCCTGTTAAGCACTGGCTTTCTGGTGTGTACTTTAATACAACTGTCGGATGCCATGTTAAGTACTTGTGTTGTCCTAGAGGATGGTGATGAATGTAACGTTTGTCCCTCACGAGTACAGTGAGTGAACTTGTTGGTGCCGCTGAGGCGTTGGGCGTACGCTAATCATTCAGACCCCAGGTATGTTTGGGGGTTGGATAGCGTATTGTACAGGGGCGGATTAAGTGAATTTATGGCGTTTACGCTTCTAGTGCATCGTCTCTGGGTCTGGCCAGGCCTGTATGCGCATGAGGGTGTCTGACTTTGATACGACGTTTTGCCCGAAACTGAACCGGAAACCTTGTCGACCGTATTTAGCGCGTCAGTTCGGCTTCTCAGAGTATGCACTGTGTCCTAACGATCGACATTCATGCGTATGACTCACGTTCGATGCGCCTTGAAATTGTCGCGACCTGAGCATTTTAATGCCGTGGATGTTTGACCAACGCTTCGTTATTTCTCAGTGATTGAGTTCTTTCTGTGGTAATTCCTTTTCCTTCTGACTGCTTTTACATTCGCACTATTGCGATATCCTGGATGCCCCTTCCAGTGTGAGTAAATGTTAATATGGATTGGGGGACCAGATCATGTGCGACGCGTGCAGACATGCGGGTCACCTGCATCGTCCACGCCCAGCTCCGGACTTTCTAACACTTTCTTACAACCGAAGCACTGTGGGACTATGAGAGAGGGTGGGTTGGAAGCTTTAATAGCTTGACGGCATCCGTTTTCTTAATGTTGTTTATATTGATAATCATCGAGATGACACTGTTGACCCATAACTAAGCTCACATTTACACAGGCCTCGGTGGTTGATGCCACATTTGTAGAAACACTCTTAGCCAAATTAAGTGAAGTTGAAGAGCGCATGACGGATTTCTGCGAGCGTGTTGAAATCGCCAGGGTAGGCACATTTTATCTAATGTTTTTGACGGCCGACGGTGTACAAAATATGTGCACTACTAGATATTGGTTGAAAGAGGCGGTCCGTACTTTCGTGCGTTTCCTGTGTTGCAAGTCTCGGTCAATAGTTGCGTTGGCAAATAACGAGCAAACCTGTTCATGTTCTGGTAGTCTAACCAGGGTTTCCCACTCCCCGAATCTCGCCTACTCTTTCACTGAACACCAATTTGAATACCCTGCCTGTGGTCCGCGGGCCCATGTTCCATCGGGCCTTGTCCGTATACATATGGTTCATAAATCAAAATATAGGAAGGAAGTTGCACGTTCTGTTTCACTTAGGGCTCCAATCTAAGTCGTACGCAGGCGGTCCGCGGGTCCATGTTTCATCGGGATTAGTTAGGAGATAACGCTTCAGCAAGCAAATTATAGGAGGGCACTTGCACGTTCTGTTTTACCTTGGGCTCCAATCTGGGTCGCACGCAATTGGTCGCCTTACGACAGGCTATGGAACAGTAGGACGGCCGTTCACTGAAAGCTGAAATAGAGCTCTGAGTAGAAACCCAAAGGGTAAGTTCCCTTTGATAGATACGTCGGTGAGACAGCACTGCTAGCTGATTGGCTTGGGCATCCTTCTCATTGTCGAAGACCATTAAATTTTTAGGGATTATTTTGGACTAGCTAGATCCCGCTACGTGCTGCTGTGGCTATAGTTGGGTAAAACGGCAAAGAAAGGAAGGACGAATAGGGAGCGTTTCTAGTATTTTTAATGTCATAGTGCTTGAGGATATACAATATTTTTTTCCTTGCATTGTCTGTACAAATATAGAGATTGTCTACTTTCCCAACTCTGGAACACGCAACTTATAATGGGCAATGTGAGAAGCAATCCGTTTTCAGATCCAAACAGCAAAATTCTAGTGATTGGCCCTGACCTTTGTTAATAGTGATTGCAAACACCAATTGAACCGGGAATTGAATTCTCCTAAATTGAAATGGCATGTCAGTCGGAGTCAGTGGAATGCGGCCGAGAATCCCAGCGGTAGCGGTGACAGCCCCGTTATGTGTTTTGTGCGACAAGTTCAAGTGGAGCCCAAGAGTTGCATGTCTTTTTTCCCTAGTTGTGGTTTGCCCTAGCGGCCCATTAGTGGCCCATAGGGTAGAGGGGATGTTTAAATATTTGCAGGGTGGGTGGTGGACACGTTCCCAACAGGAAAGAAAAATAAGGGCCACCGGTTGGCGGGATTTATTGCATACGAAACCCGCGATTGCCCTCCTAGGCGCTGTCGGACGCGGGACAATAGTTCACTGCATCCAATCGCGCCCTGAATCCCGGAATTCCTTAAGTATTCCGTGTAGGCAAGCCCAAGTAGTGTCCTATAGTTGTATTTTCGGCTTTTTTGCCCCAGTAGCTTTTTTACTGCAAGCGGCGTGCCGTTGCAAAGCCTCGCTTGCCTCAAAGTTCGCAGCATGATAATCAGCAGGCAGATTTTAAATTGCAGTACTTGCGGCGGCATCATTGGCAGATCAAGGGAATTAAGAAATTCTATTGGATAATTAACTGCCTCGTCTGCGTTCACAACAGAGTTGATGGACGTATACGCGACTGCCTCGTTGTGAATCCTAGACTGAATAATGTGGTTGAGATGGTGGACATCCTTGTACTTGGCCGCAGGAATAGCTCGGTCACTCAAGCAGTCGTGATTGTTGTAAGGGATCTGAATATTCGCAAACACCTTTTTAACCAATTTCTCTTTTGAGGCAACTAATTTGCCGAAGGTAAGGAGTGGGGAAATCCGTACCGAAGTCGGATCAGTAGGCACCGCTGCATTCCCAAATCCCGGCAATTACCTCAGCTAACCTGTCGTTTTGCAGCTAGACGAGCGTATTTGTAGTAGATTTTACCGTCCGCCATAAGGTTGGGTATTTCAGGCAGGCATTTATTTCGTCCGCTGTTGCCGATGTAGGAATTACAGGTAGGATTTGCCTGAAGTATCCAGCAAGCAGTAGCAGTAATGTCTCCAAATTGTCTGCTGCTTCTGCGCAAACTGGCAGGGGTCAATCAATCGTCTCAAGTTGCCTCTTGTGCACCATTGTGCACCATCCCAGGCAATAGGTTTACATTTCTGCAGTACTTTTCCCGTTCGGGAATTCTGGGAAATGTAGCGCATGGGGGTTCAATGAATTGCACGGTCAAATGCAATTTCAAAACTGAATGAACGGTTTTTCCGCCGGGTAATAGAGTTGCAGCTATTCTGTGGTTGCACACAAAACTAATGCATACATCGCAGTGTTGGCAGGTTTCCAGTAAATTAAAACCCTGGAATGCATTACCGAAAGTGGGATGCTTAATGCCATAGGCAGATTTCAATTGCTGGAAAGACGTTGTACCGGACACATTCACCAATACCGTGCGGAGTACGAAGCATTCGTCCTAGAATCCCCATCTTTCACCATTTCCCCTAATACACCCGGCAGCGCATAGACCCAGACGCTTGTGTTTCACCATGAAGTTCGTCAGCGACTTCGGTTTCTACAGAAAAACATGTACTAGTATGTGATATCTATTCACCGGCGATAACCCGGGAAGTAAGAGCTGATAAATATCTCTCCAAGCTGAATTGCATGTGAATGTAAGGAGTAGGTCTGGACGCCTGTACTGACAAACAAAGCGATTGCACCTCAAGCGTATCCGAGCGTATGGCGTGAACTTCTGTGTATGTGGAGGACAAAAATCAGTACTCTTCCAAATTTTGTTGTATTACAGTTCTTTACAACTGCATCATGCAAAGGAATATATTCTTCAGAGCGCAGCTTGGTCAAATTCAAGCGAATAAAAAGCAGGCGTCCTGTTTCGATTTTTTGCATACTTATTCACAAAGCAGTGATGAAGCAATTGATGGCATTTCAAAAAGGGGTTTACTTACATTATGTCAAAGCATAAGTCAGAAGGAGTAGTAGTTCATTCCGCTACATTTCACGTGCGTTTCCTTATCACTGACTGGATTTATCATCTTAACGTTGAAGTGATATCCAACGGCACCAACCCGAACAGTAAATGGATACTGTGTTGAAATCGGTATTGCTCATTCTGTTGTTGAACGGAGCAAACCTGAAGCTGCAGAACGCGGTAGCCGTGGCCGCAACCGGGCTTCCACAAGCCGGGCTGCACGAAACTGAGTGACAGTCCCATTATGTGGGTTTGTGCCAGGGGGGGAAGGGGCGATGTTAACCGCATCCAGTCATCACGTTCGAGAATCCCAGCGGAAGCGGCGACAGCCCCATTATGTGGGTAGTGTGGGGCAAGTTCACGTGGAGCCCAAGAGTTGCGTGTTTTTGCTGCAGGGTGGGTGGTTTGCCCACCGGCCCAGATTACATCGGCCCAGGGAGGGGGGGGGGGCGTGCTCAAGTATCCGCAGGGTGGGTGAGCGCGGCCATCGAGGGCAGTACGTGCGTTTGAGCGGATGTCGGTCAAGAAGCTCGGCGGGCGCACGTGTGTCCGCGTGGATGCGGGTCAAGTGGCCGCAGCAGGCGGCGTTGTTATGCCGGAAAAAATCCGGTTTTTTACCCATCACAGGCATACCATCGGCATAATTACAAAATTGAACAGACAAAAACCCAGCCCTATGCGCAGGCAAGGTTGTGTCAAAAGCTCAGCGCAACTGGTGCAGTACTTTCGGAGATTACTTATAACGCGCGGGAAAACCCTTCCATTTTTATTTATATAGACTGGCGAATGCATTTGCTCAGCTACTAAGAATAAAGTGTCATTTTCTATATTTTATCATTTGATTGTCACCTATGACGTTTTCCGAAGGCATTGATCTCATGTCTTCATGACATTCCTGTACCTGGGCTTTTTCACATGTCACGCACTCTGTACTTGATCTCATAGCCAACCGGAAAGTGGTGCATGTCCTACGTTTTCGAATGTCGGTGCCAGAAATGTTGCTAATTGATGAGATGAATCGGTCCTCGTCGG